AGTTTGTCGGCCCGAAACAAGGAGTGTGGGCTGTGTGTGGAGTTAAAAGAAAACTTTTTGAAAATATACCAAAATAAAATCAGAGGTCTCATAGATATATGATAAAGAGAAATAAATATATCGTCACTTGGCCAAGGTGTTCAAGAGAGTAGGACGGCTTTCCAGTCTTTAGCTCAATAGGCACCAGGGCACATTGATCATGCTTAGATTGTTCATCGGTTGATAGTGATGGCATGTCCAAAGTTACGGAAGATTTAAACGGCAGCCGAGCACGAACAGTCACATCAATCTTTCCTTTCAAGCCTAGCCTATAAAGAGCCGAATGAGATAGGATCGAATAAATAGAAAGAATTACATAGGGAAGTAAAAATTGACGTTGCTGCGGTAAAGGGAGGTTCCTTTGCTAAGATTAGTCTATGTAAGTAAGAAATTGTTTGGATTTAGATAAAGAAAATCATTAACAATATTCTTCGCATGTAAGTAGAGTTTCGAGACTACCAGTAAATCACTAATATGAGATGTATTCACCCTATTTCGTTTAAGGTCATGAAGGAGTAGTAGTAGAATTTTCCCACATTGATATGAGTAGAGCTAACATTTCCATCGAATTTCACGTAGGCCTGCTTTCCCAAAAGTTGTTCTTATCCAGGGTGAACTGCAGTTTTGACCTCGCGTAGGTCTTATCAACACCCCGAACAGGAGTCAAACCGTGACAGTGTAGAATGTGAGCTTGACACTTTAACCAGCCGGGCACATTGCCACGAATGCTCTTGGGTCACAGGGCAGATGTGAATTTCAATGAAGGCCAGGCCTTTTTTTGCCATATTATATTCTTTGGTGGGATTGTCGATGAAGAAAACGTATATTGGCTATAACAATCGACTACATTACTTATTTTTCGTATGTAAGAAGAGTTTCGAGACTACCAGTATATCAGTAATATTAGATGTATTCACCCTAGTTCGTTTAAGGTCTCGACAATCCCACCAAAGAATGTGACATAGGAAAAGGTCTGGCCTTCCGTAAAATGCACATCTGCCCTGTGACCCAAGGGCACTCGTGGCAATGTGGCCGAGTGGTTAGCGTGTCAAGCTCATATGCTACACTGTCACAGATCGACTCCCGCTGGGAGGGCTGATAAGACCTACGCGAGATCAAAACTGCAGTCCACCATGAATGGGAACAACTTTTGGGAAAGCTAGGTAAAATTCAATCGAAACGTCAGCTCAACTCATATCATTATGGGAAAATTCTACTACCCGTCTTTCATCACCTCAAACGGAATAGGGTGAATACATCTTATTTCATTATGCTGAATTAAGTATGTGAAGAGATTTGGCATATAAAAAAGCTTAATTTATAATGCATTTATAGCTCTTTTAGGATTGAGCTAAGAGAATAATATAGAAGAAAAAAAGTAAGGTTTAAGGAGCCTTATAATCAGTTGAAAGAATTAATGCAATAATTTATAGGTTATTTGAAAAAGCTAGATAAAATAAAGCGATTTCCAGCATGTAACAACATCCAGCGAACCAGGCTTGTAGCGCTGTTAAAATTTACCTTGGGCACCAAATATTTTCTTCTATTTCAGTGATTTCATCAACAATTGGCGAGTCCTTATCAAGAATTTGATAGCTAGAACCACTGGACTCAAGCAAAACTTCTCTCTTTTGGTGTCTAATAAAACAAAGGATCAAAAAATGAATTTAAAGGCAATTAATTATTGTAAAAAATCGACTATAATGGGCATAAAAGTGAAAGCGTGTAAATAAGATAAACAGAAAATAATAACAACACCAAAAGGTCAGAACTGGAAAAAATGTGCCAATGATTACTTTTTAATGATTTAGATGTTCCTGAAAATATATGCTCGGCTTCGCTCTAATGTATATAGTACACAGGTCTAGTATAGTAAAACAAAAAGGAGTTACGGAGTACATTATATAGAAAAAGAAATATTACAGAAGAGGATTCGGAGTGGAAAAGCAAAAATGATAGCGGAATGTGCTGTCGGTGCAAGAGAACAGTGTTCAAGCACTGGATATCATATAGGACTAATAGCCTTAATAGCAAAAATTTGAATAAAACAGTTGAAGAAATACTAAATGAAAAACTACTTACCATAGGATAGTTAGATATATAGGTGAATGTTTGGATAGTAGACGGCATTGAGAGTATGAGTCATGAATTCTTCAATTAAAAATGACAAAATAAAACCGATACCCGCGGACTACCAAAGATACACAAGGAATGAAAATATCTAAGAGCAAGTGAATAACAAGCATGGGGCTGCACACAGGCAGGCTAAATTATTTTCGTGAATCACAAAAAAGGAAATGACAAACACGCAAACACAGTGGAGAATTCATATGAATAATCCCAAATGGTTCAAATCAACGGACGAGCGTGTAGGGAACTGTTTATAAGTTTAGACGTATAATCCTTTTAGAGTTCCTGTAAATATGAACAAGTTGCGAAGACCAGTTCAAAGAACTTTTATAGAACGAAAGGAGATTGCGACCATAAAATAGGCCACATAATCTTGATCTTCATACCTTCGATAAAACTATGGAAATAAGATTGCCAAAGAATACACCGATTACAGCAGGACCAAGAAAACAATTATAAGT